ACTGGCCAGTCCGAGGGGCTCAATACCGGGTGCAGGACCGGAGGGACCCCCAAGGGCAGCGCACGGAGGTTCTGGCAAAGGCAACTTACCAACCTCGCGAGAGCCGAGCTCTTGAGCGACCCTGCGCAGAAAGAACAGGCAGATGCACAGGTCGCTTTGCTCACAACATGCTTTGTGGACGGCTACAGACTTGCCTTTTTTGGTCCTTGGATATTGTGGCGCTTTGTGGACACATTCATCTATTTGGGCGAATTGAAGCAACCTCGAAACGGGCTTTGTGAGACCTAGGCTCCTTGCAGAAGGTTCCCGATATTTTTCGACTGATGAGTTGTGATCTTACATCCAGGTGACGAGGTTGGGTCAAAACATCCAGTTGTCTATTGGCAATCTGGACTCAATCCCACAGAATCCAGAAGAAAAACACAAGCATTTTCCCATGTCCTTTGAGTAGCCATCATGTTTGGACCGTCAGAATGCACACTGGGTGCAGTTCTGAAGATGTGAGTGCTCCAATTCCATCTGCCTATTTTACGGTGAGCTCACTTGGGGTAGGAGCTCACCATGAAGTCCCTGGCCATTGGCGAGACCATGGTTAAATCTGTTGCATACCCTCCGATTACAGGCAGAATGAAGCTGATGAAATCTGGTATTCACCAGGCAGGACTCGAATGGCAACTTTGGCAGATGATCATCCGACCATGCCCTCAGTTTTCGAGGGAACAGTTTTTAGAGCAGAACTTTCCGAGCTTTCCTGAGATTCCATGGGCCATGGGTCTCCCGTTTAACCATCCAAAGCGGGAAGTGTCCGGTGGTCCCCCCATTGTTGCAAACCCGATTCCTCTGCAGTGAGGAGGCTCCGCCAATAGGAAACCGAGGTTGAGACAAACTGCGGTGGCTGTATGGGGGACATCTCACACTACATTTTAAAGTGACTGCATATGGACCTACTCCGGAAGAAAACGCAACAACGAACAATCAACAAATGTAAGAATACAAGACCAGAAGCTGAATATCACTGGCCAGGATCCCTTTTGCCCCCGCACTACAAAGCAAGCGTCATAAGATCAGCATCACTCGTCGCATTATTTTTGCATTCGTCTTCTTCTTCTTCTTCAACCAGGTTGAAATGGCACATGGTTACTCAGCAATCTCTGGAATGTTGTCATATGCACCTCTGCAACCTGTCAGATTGAGATCACGGCCACCTGTTTGTGCCTTTCTTGGTTCCTTTGCTAAAAGCAAGCTTTTCGGAGCCCGTTGAACGAGAACAAGGAAATTTCCCCTTTCGTGGGTTCCCTACTATATTGTCGGGATTCCGACGTTCGTTTGGGACGGGATAGCGCAGGCGCACAGTCAACGCACTGGATGAGGAAGCTGCTTGGAGTGAAGCGTCGTTGGCGGCGTTTGGGTCGGAGAGACGGGGTGATAAAATGTTGGCGGGAATGTATGTCAGTGTTCAAGCCTAAACAGCTTCCCTCAAGCTGTGGAATTCCGGGAATTGTTTCACAAGAGGCTACTCACCGGCAAATTCACGTGGAACCACAAAGAGGACCTGTTCTATGTGGAGCCAAAAGCCTTCGCCGGCTGCATTTTTGGCAGAGGGCCAAGGTTCTGAAGGTAGCTGTACAACTGTTCTTTGATGTTTCCTAGGATTCAAGGCCAACTTTTTGCATTGGATAAATACCAAAGGCCCACCTAATTCCTCGCAAACCAATGAACCTCTAGGTGTTTTTGTTGTGACGTCCACCAAAGACTCCAACCCATAAGACCCATCCATGTCCAAGGCTCTCCCAGCGGCTGCGGCCCAAGGACGACGCCAACTTTGCCTGTGTGCTCCTTGGGAGCCTGGCCGAGGCACGCGTCGGTTCTGCTGTCTCAATATAGGGGACCCCCAAATGGGCTTCGAGGTTTCCTTTTGGGACAACCCACCCAGGATGCCCTGCAAGAAAGACAGACCCACCCCACATGAAGATTCCTCGGGTCTGGAGGAATCTTCGGCTGCCGGAGCTCCCCCAAAATGTGTTCAGCTTCACCAAGTTGGTGGCCCTTTGTGGATCTTCGACAGGTTTGGAGTGTCAAAGGATGTGATCCCCCATCTCAGCTGGGCTGCGAGACTCTTGAGGGCAGGCCCCATCGCAAAGATGATGTTTCCAGAGATGAGCCAAGCGCATGCCAAAAGTTCAGCACATGGCAATATCAGTTGGGCTCATCGAATTTGCCGGGGGGGCTCCATACAAAGAAGGAACACGGCAGGTGGCCACTTCCACTGCAGTCTGGACCATTCCATGCAAGCATCTGCAGTTGCCCAGTTGAGATGGTTGCCGCTCCAAAGAAGCCTCAGATTTGAATGGGATATATATATATATATATACACACACGGCCACAGATATAGTCAGTTTATTGACAGTTTACATCCCGTGTTCCTGTGGAAGCCATCTAGAGAGTCCTGGCCAGGTGAGCAGCCACCTTTGGCGGCACCAGGCGAACGGATGCTGAACTTGGGTGGCCCAAGGGATCGCCCGTTTTGCGGGGTTCCCTACTTAGAGTCAGACTTGCAGGCTAGAGGCTAGGTGATGACGAGGGGGTGGAATCCTTTCGGCGGTTGCAGGGAATCATTGCAGGCATTTGGGGACTAATACGCAATAATAGCAGATGGCAAGCAACCGTTTCAGATTTGTGGACATGTCACGGCAAAGCTCTTGTTTACCAGCACGAGCTTGGTTGGTCTTCCCCTAGCTGAAAAAGAACCTTTGGTCATGGAGTCTACCGGAGTCACCGCCTGGCCTGCTCTTTCGGAGGACGAGTTCCTTTGGGAAACGGCACCTGTGCGCCTGCGTGTTTGTGGCACACCTACGGACTCCACCAAGCTTCTGGTGAATGGGTGACAAAGTGCTTCTTTTTGGGTTTCACGGGTTTCAACTCGCAAAGGGGACCAGCTGGAGAGACTCGAGCCGCTTCAACGGGTCACCCTCTTTTGCCTTGGCGCTCTTGGATCGCGGAGGCGCTGTGGCTGCAAATGGCCGAGGAGACCTTTTGTGCCGGGAGCCAAATGAATTGCCGACGTGTTCGTTCGGGGAAGCCAAAGGAAGGCGTTTCTTCTTTTGGGGCTGTCATTGTTTTGTCGAGAAAATGGAAGACTAGTACTTGCCAACCATTGTTTCCAGGGAATGGGAGGGATGGGGGGAAGAGGAGGGGGGAATGGGAACGAAGGGGAGGGAAAGGAATGGATCCTCTTGAAAAGGAGAAACACAAGCTGAGGGGAATTTCATTGATTTCTCAAAACATTGGGTGAAAAGAGTGGAGGATCAGCCTTTTGAAACCTGGAAATTTGAACTGAACATGTGGCCAAACGGAGAGCTGGAAAGCAAACGTAGAGCTGGAAAGCTACGAAGGCACGCAATCAGCATCAACCCTTGATGTGGATGATACCCTTTGGAGTATGCAGATTTGGCTTGCCATGTGAACTTCTTGGCTGTTTGAGTTTCCTTCACTGTCCCTCACTAGCACACAGTGAGCTTACGACGTCCTGCGTCTGGCCAAGTCCGGAGGCGTTTTTTTCTCATGAAGTTGTCTTTTCTGCCTTCGGGGTCACTCATCGGGTTCAAGCCGTTTTTGACCAAGGCATTTCCGTGTTGTTCTGCTTGCCGCACTCATCTTTTGAGCCAACTGTGAACTTCTATGTGCACGGCTGAATGTCGCTCTGAAAGTCAGCTCATCCAGGACATGACAAACTTGACATTGACCCAGGATTCATAAGCCCCTGGCTGCTGTTGTCCTTCACTTTCTGGGGAAGAATGTTCTGTGAATCTGACAAATTGATTGATCCCGGGTCAAACTGATGGTTCTACAAGACTCCGGGGGTGAAGACGGCTGAGTCAAGCACTCTGACGTAACTTACAAGCGTGCAATTTTCAAGGGTACCCTTTTGGGCAACTGCCCACTTTGGGGTTTTGCAAAGCTCGAGCAAGGTGGAGTTTTCTGAGTTGCTGGACCCCTCGTTCGACTTTGCCACTGCGACGTCCTACGCGCGGAAGCCCAGAAAGGCTCAGCGGTTGGGACTTACCGTAGCAGGCACACGTTGTCCGCGAGGTGGGGGGTCGCAATGTTTGAATCATTCCACATGTGAAAGATTCCCCCGTTCATCCCAGGTTTCTTGCTCTTGATACGTACCTAGCGGTAGATGTTGGTTTTGCTTTCTTAGATATCTTGAGTGACGGATGCACAGTGCACAGGCAGGTCTTCGCTTCATGGCAGCGGTGTCGAATCAAGACACCACTTGCAACCGTGACCCCAGCAAATTTTCAGGGTGCCAGCCTTGTGTTAGAGGTCCACACAGGCTCTCTCGCATGCCTAAATAAGCCCCTGCTTCTCAAAATGGTGGACATCCCAGTGTTTTTTTGATGTTCACAGGATCCCTATTAAGAGTCATGCCCTTTCAGGGCACGGCGTGTTTTGCATGAGGACTCAGGACGTCCTTTTGAAACTGGCTCGCGCCGCACCGCTTGCTTTCGGACGGAGATGATGGTTAGTGCTGTGTCAAGCAGTTCAAAACGGTTGCCTGTGAATATACTTATTAGTTACGAATATGTATGTGTATGCCGCTGTATGCCTGTGTTTTTCACATATGTAGATACTTTTCACGTTGAATGTGCATGCTGCCTCGGGGCTCGGCCTGCGGCTTGCCAGCTTGCTAGTGCGGAATGCCTTTTGGCCGACCAGCGTTACTGCCGTCGCATCAAAAGAAGGTGGGTTGCATGACTTTGCAAAGCGGGTTCACCTGGCAACAATTGAATCATGCTAAACGGAAACAGCCTGAACTGTACACAAGGCCTTCAGAGCAACTGATTTCTATCTGGGTGCGTCTGAACAAAGGGACCCCAAAACGGTGGTTTCGCTCTGGTTTCCCTTTCCCTCCCCCCCAAAACAAGGGGTTGTCTTCAACAAAAAGAAAGCACACCAGGTGTGTCCCTTGAGATTCGACTGAGAATCGTATCGATGCCATGGGGCCGGATGCCGACGACCTGCCGGTGGGAGCGGTGGTGCGGCTGGTGAACTTGCAGCGAGTGCCCTGGATGAGAGTGTGCCATGGTCAGGAGAGCCACTTAGGGATTGTCATGGAGCCCTTCGCAGGAGTTTCTAGACAACCATGGTAAGATTTTAAGGATGCCTATTCGATGCAGCTAGGCAAAGGATTGGGCCGGCTGGCCCACCACGAGCCTTAAGCAACTGGCCGCGAACGTAACATGCAAATGAGCACTGGCGTGCTTCTCACCGAATTTTCATAGGATGAGTTTTGATCACGCCGCTCAACCTGACGCAAGTGACACAAGCACCAAGATCAGGACACCCTAAACGGGTTCCAGCTTGCACAAGACAATCCTGTGTGTACCATCTGAAAGGAACCCATTTGTTAGAGCCCATTCAGCCTGGCTGCCTCCACAGCCTGGCAAAGCCTTGCCGTGCAGGCTCGTCTTATACTTGTAGTCTAGACTCTGATCCTGGGGGGAATGGTGGACGCCCTCGCGCTTGCAGGTGTGTTCAAGGACCCACAGCTGTCTTGTCGGTGCACCTTGCGTGCCTGACGGGCTTTTGGGAGTTCATGACTGCTTGTGTAGGCCTTGAACTCCAAACGGAGGGGTGGCCGACGTGTATCGGAGGCTGCCCTGCGATGGAGGGGCGGTTTCAGTTGGCCGAGCCCTACAGGTCCATCCAGAACCCATACGACAGGTCACCCAAGAGAGAACGTTTTCGTTCCTGCCAGCACCAGGCCGAGTTCAACCACCACCTGGGGCGGGTCGTCGCGCCGCTGGAGAGCGGTCGTGTGGGCGTGGTCCTGCATGGGGTGATCTCCCAGAAAGCGGCGCCGCCTGGCCGAAGTTTGAAGGAGTACTTGAACATCACCTAAACACATTCCAAAAACAAGCGCGCGGTCAAGACAATCCGAGATAAGGCTTCTCTGGAGAAACACAACGTGCTGATCCCAGGGTGCGTCGCAATGCAACTTCAGAATTGGCGGGGTCTTGTTCTATGTGCCATCTTCATTTCCCTTTACAAGGGCTAAGGGGTCCATGAGGGGGTTCTAGATGTTCTCTTGAAAGTATGGCTTCAAATATCACCCTTCGGCAAAGGACAATTTTAAGGTGGGCTTCTTTCGGTGATATTTATTGGTTAGATATACAGGGACTGGCAGCCCGTTGGCAGTGGCCTAGCCCACCGAGAGCGAGACATGTGTATGTGTGTGTTGCAGGCTTTCCTGCCTTTTCCCTGCCAAGGTGACTTTGACCCAAATGGTACTGGAAAATCAGGGTGACAAGAACTTTGGTTGATGGATATGGGGGAGGTGTGAAAATCACTGCAGCAAGTTGGCGCCACATTTTGCTGGTTAGTGGGAAACTAGTCATGTTCAACCAAAAAGGTTTCGGTCAAAGCAAATAGCGACGTATCCGCCAGGGGACCGCTTGAGAAAGCGCTTGACATGCTCCACAATCTCGAGCTCTGTCCAACTGTCCAACCCCGCTTGGAAATGCTGAACCCGGATTCTCGTCTGTCGGATCAACCAAATGGCAGGGCGTTGCCCGAGTGAAGGATCCCAAACTGATGTGAAAGATGGATCATGTCCTTTTGGTTTCCATTCAAAACGACCCCCAAAAGGTTACCCTCAACAAAAGACACAACCATATTTGCCGTGGTCCAGACCTCCCACACCCTACCTCCTCCCCTTTGTGGTTCGTTTGGTTTTGGCTTGGCTTTGGGATTGGTTTGGGTTGATGCAGCGCAGGATTGGTTCGGTTGGTTGTTGGCTTAAAACTGAGGCAGGTGTAGCATTGTAGGTTGGCTTCAGGGTTGAAGGGTCGAGTTTGGAATGGCTGGCTCTCAGATTCTTTGTGCTCATTGGTGGGGGTGGGACAATTTCAGCAAGAAGGGAGGGCAACCCCAGGTACGAGCCGCTGAGCTTCAAGGTAGAGAACCTGCGCCGGGTGTTTCTTGACCGCAATTCGCAAGCTAAAAGGGTTTCTGGCTTGTAAGGGTCCATTCTTGCGAGGGCTTTTCAGATTGCCCAGATGTCAGGTGCTCCTGCCTGTGCTGGGGTGTTTGCTCCTCTCTGAGTTTGTATGTTGCTGTTGCATAGGTTGCAGGGTTTGCGCAGGCCATCGCTGCCATCCCTACTACCAGTTCTGGATAGCATCGGCCCGCGAGCTGTGCGCAGGCTGGTTGGCAAAATTGGGGGCCTTTTTTGGTACTCCCTCTGAAAGGCTTCATGAGGAAGGGGGCATTGCAAGGATTTATATTCATTTGGTATGGCTAAGCAATGTCATACAGCATGGGCATTCGACTAGCCCTCTTGGATCAAGGAAAAAGGCCCGCGCCTTACATGGCAGCGGAGCAGAGCTCCAGATCCAGGGTAAGACCTTATAAGACCACAAGGTGGCGAAGGCGGGGTGGCTGACACAGTAAGACCCGAAAGGGCGGTGCGGCATCAGACCCCATTTGGGGGTGGCCTAGGATAGGTTTGAGTCACACGTGCAGCCATGGACAGGTACAGGAGTTGGTGCTGGAAGACCACTGATTGACACACGAGCCCTTGGCAAGCTGAGGTCCTTTTCTGGGAAGGAGGAGGACTGTCCCACATGGTGTTTTGTGGCAAGAGGCTACCTCAACATGCTCGACACGCGCTACAGAAGTCTTCTGGAAGTGAGTGAGGGAACATCACATTATTCAGACATTGCATCTGCAGACCTCACTGATGAGAACAAGGGTTTGGCTTCAGTACTATTCAACCTTCTGGTTCAGTGTGTGGATGGCCGAGCTTTGCAGAGTTTGATGAACATAGAGCCAGGAAATGGTTTTCAAGCCTGGAAAGCTTTGAAAGAGAACTATGAGCCGAATGTTGGTGGCAGATTCACAGCCATGCTCATGGGTATCATTAGCCCAGCCCAAGAGAATGTCGAGGAACTGGGAAGTGCAAGTTCGCCGCTATGAAGAGCAGTCTAGAGACGCGATTTCTGAGACTACCAAGGTGGCTGTCATCATGAAGCATGCACCACCTGCTTTGAGAAAGCAAGCGCACAACTTGGAGGACCAAGAAGTATGCCAGATATTTTTTGCAGAGTGGACTACCTTTCAGTTCCACAGGCAACACAGCTGCAGAAGATGGTGGACCTACACCTCTGGAGGTTGGAGCAGTTGGCAAAGGCAAAGGCAAGGACAAGCGCAAGAGCAACGGCACAGGTAAAGGCAAAGGCTACAACAGCAAGAAGTTCCAAGGTGAGTGCAGCCATTGTGGACTTTGGGGGGACAAGAAAGCAGAGTGCTGCAAGTTGGCCCGTGAAAGAAAAGGTAAGGGCAAGTCCAAGGACAAGATTACCACAGCCACTGCCACATCAGGTGGAACAGGAGCTGCAAATCAGCAACCAATGCAGTGTACTATGACATGGCCGCGAATGATGACTTCATGGGCAGATGCGTCTTCAGAAATCATCCAGGAGTACTCGGATGACAAATGGGTCATGACCATTGTGAAGGCACAGAGCAAGAACATTAAGAAGGGCAACTTCACCTATTTGCCATAGGATTCATGCAGCGATGAGCGTCTTTGCAAGAGTGACTTTGGCGGTGATGGTTACATGGGAGAGACCGATAAGAAGTTGCTGGGTATCTCAGGTGAAAGCTTGGGCAAGCTCTACAAGAAGTGGGTGAACCACAAGGTAGTTGCTGAGGGGGGACATTTCACGAATGTGGCAACCAAGTTCCTTGTGAGCGACTATGCCAGCAAGAATGTCCTCAGTGCAGGAAAGTTGAGAGCTAGAGGATTCACAGTAGTGATGAGCGATGAAGGCAACTACTAGGTGCATCCCAACTTTGCCTACAAGATCCCGCCATTCCTCTACAACAACTCGTTCTACCTCAAGGTGATGGAGAAGTGCATGGACAACATCCAGGAAAAGGCCGCTTTTGTGGGACCAGGACGACGGAGTAGGCTGGAGATGGCACTCCTAAGGAGCAGGCAGAGTATGAGATGATTGCATTGCCAGATGAGTTCAACCAAGATGAGGCTCATGCGAGAAGAGATGGAACACCCTGAGAGAGCGGGTTGCAGACTTGAGGGAGAGACTCCGAGAGTTGAAGGAGCCGATCTATGGTGACAAGAACGCGGTGGAGAAGGCTGACGAAAGCAGAAGCAGAATTGGCTAGGAGGAGAGCTGCTGCAGGTGCAGCAGAGCGACGCAAGCAGAGCTGGACAGACATTGCCTCACACACATACCTCCAGCCAATGGGCAGTGCTACTGTGCTGTAGCTTTGAGCGTCCCGGCCAAGAACCTCGAGCTGCCCTATGTGACAAAGAAAGACAGTCACATCCTTCATGGCACAGTTGGGCTACCCTGTGATCAAGCTGAGAACTGATGGAGAGCCAGCAATCAAAGTTGTTGCAAGAAAGATTGAGAGAAGGGAAAGCACCTGAAGGTATCAGAGTGATCGTAGATGAAGCCTTGGGCAACATGGGAGGGTTCCAGAAGCTGCTCAGGGCAGTGTTGACACTTCGCAATGCTGTGGAGGCTGAGTACAACAGGACCCTTCACACTTCACACAACATCTGGCCTTGGCTTGTGAGATGGGCTAGCTTCGAAAGGAACCGCTTTGCAATGAAAGCAAATCAGAGGACCCTGTTTGGGGAGACCGTGATGTTCAAGACACTTTGCTGAGGTCACCAAGTCACCCCCTCGCCCAAAGATCCGAGCGAAATCAGCGGGTCATCTACTAAAAATAGTCATGACCCCTTTTAAAAAAGCGACCCCGGCAATCTGAAATGCTGAAACCCACAAATCCCAAACCCCACAGAATCCCCAAAAGACGGCTTCCTAGAGGTCGTTCAACCTGCCCGGCTGAGCCCCCAGAATATATTTTGTTAAATTTTAAATCATTCAACCCTGGGCACCAAGGACGGAGTTTTGACGGCAAGAACTGTGAGAAGATTGGCAGCTGGACAACGCGCAGACAAGGACGTGATTGACGCGGTGCGTGGAGTTCCGTGGGACACAGGAACTACAATTGGCCGACCCAAGAAAATCGAGGTCGCGACGCCCGTCCCGAAGCCGGTTGAGACCGCGGAGGACAGGGATGCAGATGAGCCGCAGCAGAAAAATGAGCCATCCTCAGGATGCGGAGTTCCTCACAAAGCGTCGTCAACACCAGCGAGGAGGACTTGGACGGCGGAAGTTGGGGAAGCCCAACTAAGAAGCTCAAGGTAGAGGGTCAGTCGCTCAACGCGCTCTACAGCCCCATGAAAAACGTCGAGTTCGAAGAGGAGTCCCAGATGGCGGAAGGCAGTTGAGGAGTCCAAGCCGCTCACAGAAGAAGAGATCCCTGCAGGCAAGCGAGTGGAGTTCGAAAAGATGGAACGCTATGGCGTCTACAAGCCGACGAAGTGGGAGAAAGCTACGAAGCTGCTGGACGCGGTTTGGGTCAACACACGCAAGCCAGATAAGTCCATCAGGCGCCGTTGCCTGCGTGAGAGAGTTCAAGAAAGGTGACCCCAGGACAGACGTCTTTGCAGTGGTGGTCAAGCATTCGTGAAATTGGCTGCCAGCCGTTTCGGGCAGTGAAGGCATGCAGAGGTGTGAAGCACCGAATTTCTTTCACAACCCCATCAAGGACATCAGCAGATCATCAGCATGGAGGTTCGACCTCTACGGCGCCGGGCCGAAAACGGCATGTCACGAGTTGGTTGAGAAGCGCAAGGAGAAGATTGTAGATGGAAGATTGCAGAGAGTGTCCAACACCCTATGTTACTTCGAGAGCAAGAAGTGCTGCGTTAGTGTTGGCTTTGTACCTGTCCTATGGCCGGGTTGACGTGCAGTGTGCAGTGCGGGAGTTGGCCAAGGACATGAAGCAGCCTACGGAGGCTACGCAGGTATTTGGCAGACACTGGAGACTTTGCTACGTGGTTGCCAAGACATGGTGACATTGAGGAGTTAGACATCTATTCTGACACAGACTAGGCACATTGCAAGAAGACACGCAAGTCATGTGCATGTGGCATATTCATGGTCGTCAATTGCTTGGTGTACTCTTATGCTAGGAGTCTTCAGATGCTTTGCTTGTCATCAGCAGAGGCAGAGTTCAATGGAGGAGTTGCAGCACGCAGTGAAGGACTTTTCTTTCTTGGAAATTTTCAGATTCTTCGGCATCAAGCTGGACATGACCGTCTACCTGGACAGCAGTGCGGCCAGGGGGGTGTTCCAGAGACAGGGATGAGGGAGGATCAGACACCTGGAAGTTAAAAGCTTTGGGTTCAAAGTGGTTTCAAAGGAAAACTCTTCAAGCTGAAAGCCATGCCGAGTGCAGAGAACCTTGCAGATTGTGGCACAAAGGGATTGCCAAGAAAGAGATTTATGGAGCTCAGACAGAAGCTCAATGTGGGACCATATCAAGCAGCACACGTGAATGCAGTTCAGGAGATCAGGGCCAACAATGTGAACAAGCAGAATTCTCATCGCAGCATTGGTCAACTTGCTGAGGCAATGGCGCAAGCTGAAGTGATATATATTTTTTTAATCATCTGTTTGAGTGTACGGCGTTCATCAAGGTTTTGGTGGATTTCAGCAAAGGCATTTGCTGGATGTGGACCTATGTCAACGTGAAGAGCGACAGCGAGAGTGAGTGGCAGCATTTTCATGACACCTGCAGGCGTTTCATAGTGCAAGCACATCAAGAACAACACCTTAAGGGCAAGACATGCAAGAGAGCCTGAGCTGAATCCTAGCTGCGGGCACTTCAAAGAAATCCCCACACAGGGGTGTGCAAGGATGCAAATTCATTTGGTATGCCTAAGCACGTCATACAGCATGGGCATTCGACTAGCCATCTTGGATCAAGGAAAGAGTCCCGCCTTACAGCATCCAAAAAAAGCCGGGAGAGTCGAAAGAGTTTTTGTTTTTCCTTCGCAGATGCGCCAGGCTGCTGGGCGATGTTGGCTGGGGCTTGCCGGAGAATGTGGCGGTTCAGGTTGACGCTTTGCTGCCAAAAGACTGGAGGTGGTTGTATTGGTAGTCCTTGCTTTAAACAACACCCCAAAAGAGGGCGGTGCTAGAGCCGGTGTTTGTCGTCTGAGGCAAGGTTTGAAGCAAGGCTCACCAACCCTTGGTTTCTCTTTAGTTCGATACGGTCGAGCCCATGTGGGGCGGGAGGGGGGGAATCATGCAGCAAAAAAGTCGTTTTGAAGGTGGTTCCTGTAATTCCTCAAAGACAACGGTGTCGGCGACATTTTGAGACTTTAGTGGAATATGGACTACTTCAAAGTCCCAACGCCGAATGCCAAACGGCTTCTCATGTCGGCTTCCAAGCTGCTGTAGTTTGGTTTCCTGGATGGAACTCAGGCGAGCTTCCTGCAGATCCGGCGCTTGCAGCTTGAAGAGGTTCAGGCTCTGCGCCGTTCGGTGCCAAAGAAGTCAACTTGAGCCGGACGTCAGTTAAAAAGAGAGAACCGGTTCACGACTGCCACCGCATCGCATCCGCTGCAGCACCTACAGGGATGCAGCAAGGGGCAGCTGGGGGGCCCCCGGGGGGGTTCTCCTCTCTCCTCTCACTGTTGCATTCTCTGGTGCCAGCTCCTTTCCAGCACCGTCTCCATGTGCCGAAGCACTCGTCAGCTGGTACAACCACACACGGTGGCTTGGCTTGACAGTGTCAGAAGACATGGTTCCAGTCCCCGCTTGCGTTGCATCCCTCATGGACACATCTAGCATCTGGGAGCCTGAGCTTTCTGGAAGCGGGCTCGTGCCTGCCCCCAACATCAACCATCTCCTGGGACCGCTGCTAGTCTCAGTGGCTTTTCTGACCTGCTTGACCCTGGCCGCCTCGAACTCGCACTGAGAGTACTCTCGGCTCTGGTGTCTTTCATCACTGATCAGTTTCTGCCACTGATCTAGCCTCCAGCTTTCTCTAACATGGTGCGCAGCTCTGTCCTTGTCCGCCTTGGCCCTGACGTCCTGGACAGAAAACCGGGCATTGAGGTACTCATGTTGGAACTGGTAAGGCCTTCGCTCCTGCCACCCGTGCTTGGTTAGCCATTCCTTTGCCGCCTTCTCGGATGGCTTCCCTTGCTGAGGCCTTCGCCCCCTTGCTCTCCGTCTGTGTGCATTCTCAGGCTGCTGTTCCCTCCTACTGGCATTATCCATCATGCGCATCACCTGTCGCACACCTATGGCCGCTTCTGCTGTCAGGCCCAAGAGCAGCGGTTTATGCCAGTGGCCCGCCGCATATGGTTCCCTGCATGCTCTCCAGGTGGCCGTGTCAAGGCTCCTGGTTTCTGCTTGGGCTGGCTTGCGGCCGACCCATCCATAGGTGACCACTGGCATGGCCATCGTGTGGATGCTGGCGTACTTCACGCTCCGCGGTACTGGGAGAAGGCCAACTCTGTCGATCCGGGCTCTGGCTTTCTGGATCCGCTGGGTCTCCTTTTCTGCCGAGGACCGCTTCATCTTTCCGACCGACCGTGCCGAGCATTTCGACTGTGGCCTTCACATGGGACGGGTCGGGTGCTTGCTTCTGCAGTTCCTCGCGCTGCTTGGGTCGCATTGCTGTCAGTTGGCTCTTCCCTGGGCTCTCACGCAGTCCCATGAGGTGAGACGCTGCTGCTGGCGGTCCATGTAGATGAAGTGCCTGGCTCTCCCCGGGGTGTCGTCTGCTGTTGACTTGACCCATTTCAGCCCATCTGAGAGGAGGCACGTCAGTGCCGTCGGGGACAGGGCGTCTCCCTGTGGGACCCCCCAGTCTGTGCACATAGGCTCGGCGTTGACGTGGCCGTCCCAAGCAAGGAACCGGCGCTGGTCTGTCCACACGGCTTCCAACACCCTGCAAAGGCCCTCGTGCAAGCCCTTCCTTGACATGTTCCATACTGCCAGTTTTGGGTTCACATGGTCAAACGCCTGCGTGTAGTCCAGCGACCCCATGTAGCCCATGGCGTGGAACTCGTCTAGTGCATCTGCGCCATGTTTTCACAGCCTGGCTGGCCTTTGCTGCCGCCGATTTCCGGCTCCTGGGCCGTTATCTTCCACTCCCTCACCTGGTCCGATCTGGCCCACGTTGACGTGTAGAGGCGCCAGAAGTGAGAGTAGATGGAGATGGGCCGCAGGCTGCTGCTGTCAATGGAGTCCCCCTTGACCTTGCCTGGCTTGGTGAGGTTTATCTGCCGGATTTCCTTCAAGACCTCCGGAAGCTGTCCTGTTGCTTCCTATCTTTCTGTGAGGCTCCAGAAGACTTCCCAGGCTGCCTTGGGTATTTGCCGGATTTCGTCAGCGTGCCACTGGTCTGTGCCAGCGGCTCCTGAGGCCTTGACTGCTGTTGCGACCGCTTCCTCCACTTTGGGCCTGCTCATGGTCTGCTGCGGCTCTGCTGCTGAAGTGGCTGGTTGCCGGCCACTAGGGCTTTTTGCTGTAAGGGGGCTGAGTCTCTTCGCTTTCCTCCAGACCTCCGCCCAGTGCTGCCGATGGCTGTCTCCTGGCGGCTCGCCATTCTTTGGCCTTTGTTGGTCACCACCGGGGTGAACTCCCGGTCTGTGCGCTTGAGCCATGTGTTCCTGGCTTTGGTATCTGACTGCATTTCGTGTCTCCATCTGGCCAAGCCTTCCTTTTTGAGGCTGGCTCTGTAGAGCTGTTCGAGCTCCTGCTGTTGCTCAAGTCCTTCTCGTAGTTGGTTTATGTTGCTAGTGCCAAGCCGGGCACCCAGTCTTCTTCCTTCCGTGCTACTCGGGAAGTTCGGGGTCTTGCTGGCTTTACCCCAAAAGGACCCCAAAAGCTCTTTGTGTACACCAAACTGCCGGGACCCATCCCCATGTTGAGACAAAGCAATACGATTTCTTGGACGGGAAGCGTTTTTTGGGATGAATGTGACACCCCTTTTTGGAGGTTCCCTTGTTTGAAGACAAGCCAATTTCTGTACGTCTCAAGATAGGGACCACCATTCGGAAAGGGTTCAACTCGTTTTGCGTGCACACACGCGCAAGCATGCGCGCCCGACCGACCACCCGCACGCACGCGTGCGAGCACGCACTTGCGCCCGTTCATGCGCGCCGGCCCACGCGCAGACGCACGCAAACGCGCGCGCACGCACACGCACATGCTGACGCCGCACCGGCACGCACATGCACGCACGCATACCCACACCCACACCCACACCCGCACCCACACACACACACACCTACCCACCCACACACACAACCACACACCCACCCACACCCACGCACACATCCGCCCGCCCGCCCGCCCGCCCACACACACAGACACACACACACACAGACACAAACACACGCACACGCACACGCACCCGCACCCGCACACTCACACGCACACGCGCACGGGCACCGGCACGCGCGCACGGGCACGGGCACGCGCGCGCGCGCACCGCACGTCGCACTTCGCACACCGCACATGCACACGGACACGCACACGCACACGCGCACGCGCACGCGCACGTGCACGCGCTCGCACACGCATGCGCGCATGCAGACTCACACACGCACACACGCACACACGCACACGCGCAAGCACAAGCACACACACACACACACACACGCACGCACACACACAAACACACACACACACAAACAAAAAGGCGCAAACACATACACACAAATACACACAACTACACACACATTTGCACCCCCACAGACACACAAAGAGACATACACATGCACATGCACATGCACACGCCCATGCACACGCACACGCGCACGCACATGCACACGCACACGCGCACGCACACGCACACGGACACACGCGCACGCACACGCACACGCACACGCACACGCGCACGCGCAAGCGCACGTGCACGCGCACGTGCACACGCATGCGCACATGGACACGCACACACGCACACACGCACACACGCACACACGCACACACGCACACACGCACACACGCACACACACGCACACACGCACACACGCACACACGCACACACGCACACACGCACACACACACACACAACCACATCCACACCCACACCCACCCACCCACCCGCCCACCCACACACACAAACACACAAACAAAAATGCGCACACACATACACACGTATACACACAACTACGCACACACATACGCACCCCCACACACACACACACACAAAGAGACACACACACATGCACATGCACACGCCCATGCACACGCACACGCGCACGCGCACGCGCACGCACATGCACACGCACACGCGCACGCACACGCGCACGCACACGCGCACGCACACGCGCACGCACACGCACACGCGCACGCGCACGCGCACGTGCACGCGCACGTGCACACGCATGCGCACATGGACACGCACACACACGCACACACGCACACACGCACACACGCACACACGCACACACGCACACACGCACACACGCACACACGCACACAAACACACACACACACCCACACCCATTCCCACACCCACCCACCCACCCGGCCACCCACACACACACACAAACACACACAAACAAAAATGCGCACACACATACACACATATACACACAACTACACACACATACGCACCCCCACACACACAAAGAGACACACACACACACACATGCACATGCACACGCCCATGCACACGCACACGCGCACGCGCACGCGCACGCGCACGCGCACGCACACTCACACGCACACGCACATGCACACGCACACCCACACACACACAGACACACACACACAGACACACACAGACACACACAGACACACACACACAGACACACACAGACACACACAGACGCGCACGCACACGCACAAGCACACGCGCACGCGCACGCGCACGCACACGCGCACGCACATGCTGACGCTCACGCGCACGCGCACCCACACGCGCACGCACACGCACACACACGCACGCATACCCACACACGCACACCCGCACACGCACACACGCACACGCACACACGCACACGCACACACGCACCCACACAGCACACACAGTTTTATAAAGGGGAGGTGTGAAGGATCGATTACGGCTTTCGGTTTCCAGAGTTAGCCTCGGCATTTGTGCTGGGTTATACATTGCGTTTGATGAAGCGTTAGCCTTTGGCGGTTCATGGGTAATCGCAGTTATTTGCCGAGAGCACAACATGCTTTACAATAGGTTGGAGGGCAGTCGTCTCACATTAAGGGCCCCCCATAATTTAGAGTTGAAGTAAGGCAGCAGAATTCAACACCCTCTTGTGCAAATGATTCTCCCGCTGCTTTCTTTGTAAGGTGGGCCGATGGACCGATGGAAGTATTCTGCTTTGCCTTGTCGTCCACGCCAAGATGTCACCCCATCTCCCCAAGGCGTTCTCTCTGCAGTTTGCTTTCGTCAGCCACACGGTTCTGGTGCACCAGGGTTCTCTAGAGACGCACGCACACAGACTGGTGAGCTTCGTTTTGGTGGGGCGATGCTTGTGGTTTGAAGTTTGAATCTAAAGGGATGTTGTCTTCAAGCATGGCTTTCATTTGGCCTTGCCGTTTCCCTTTCCCTCAAAGAACCGATGCACCTAATGTTTGGGCAAACTTTAACAAGCTTAGCTAGCGGGAAAACGAGCTCACCCATGATGAAGGTTCCTTACTCGCGGATTCCCTATTCCGATTCGTGAATTGTAGCGATTTGTGATATGTGCCATGCTCAAAAGACCCGTACACATGGGGTTGAGTGATGTCATCAATGGGGGAATTGAGGCAAGCAATGTAAAGTTTCATCAAGGGATCCATGGCAACATACCTGGAGTCCGGTCCCACGACTCCTGATTTCGATTGCAGGTCACTGGCTGCTCCTCCCACCGTGGGGACTTCCCCATCTCTGCCGTGCTCTGACTCAACGCGAATAGAGTCACAGAGAGACGTTGCTACAGGCCCCTGCTTGGTACGTGCCCCAAAGGAATTGCATTTTCTCTGGACATACACTTACGTATCCTTTTCTACCCCTGATATCCCTCAATTACCTAATCTTGCATACCCTGACTTACCCTACATCATAATTTCTATAAATGTCTCTCTCTCTCTCTATTTCTTTTTCTGTCTCTTTCTACATAGTTTAGTGCCACCTTGAAGGGGAATTGTGGTCGGGGCTTGAGGTTCCAAAAGCAGTCTGCAAGCTCGGTGGAGAAGGCTGAATCGAATTGCCAGTTCCTTGTGCCCCAGAAGGAAGCAACATGGGCATCCGCCATTCAGGTGTTCCAGTAGGAATCGCATTGAACTAACACACCAAAGGCAAACGGGGTAACATAAGCAATTATTTTCTTTCCTGGGCTGTGAATTCCAGTCACAGCCAGGTCGCAACACATGTTTTCTATGCCCTCAAAGAGGGCTGTGTTTATGGCATGGCGAGGCACTCAACGACAGGGAGGACGAGTGGTGGATTTCAGACTCCGGCACCTGCCCAGGCGGGCTTTGCATCAGGGATCCTTGCCAAAGATTGCCAATGCCCTTAGGTAAGCATCTCCCAAGATGGTTCATCCACCGTTTTGCAAACGGCATCCTTTTCGCATTCGGATCATGCTATGCAACAACCCAAGAAAGTATGGGAATGTAAAGCGCGGACACTTCCAACATTGTATCTTGGGTAGTTGCAGAAGCCAAATTGCAAAGGGGGAATTTCAAAGGAGCCAGGTGAGGATTTCAGCATCACCCGTCGGACGATGAATTTGGGCGACTCAGGGATTTCGCACTTTCGTTTGTCATCACCGATCAAGGGCCGGAATTGCCGAACCGCAGGATAGACTCTGATTTGATTTCCACGCCCAGTTGACGTGCTGCTGGTTTTCGAGCAGTCCAATTGACATGTCAGCAGCGCGCACATTTTCTGGGCTTTGCTCAGATCCTTGAACATGGTGCTGCGGAAGACATGATAGACATCTAACTCTTTCTCCGTCACGATCTTCGAGAAATGCGGCGATTTGTCACGTGTGCTGCCTATTCACCTGGTTGGATATTAACTATGAAGCATATTATGCGATCCTTGAAGCTGCAATCTTGGGCTGGTGCAAACCTACCACCATGAAGGCCCTCATAGGCTCATAGGTTATATATATTTCCTCAGACGTGGCGTGCTTTGGAGGGCCCCGTTTTCGCCTTGTTTCAACCAGCCTTTGCCAGCCTTTGACTGGGATGTGTCCAGAGGGAATCCCAACAAAGACCAGCAATTTCGGGCTTCGCAGGTGCCTTGAACCTTGATAGAAGACTGATGTTCGAATTTCGATCTCGCTTCAGCAAGCCTTCAGGTTCGACCACCGGTGTCCCAACACAGTGGCCCTTGTCACAAATTCCGGATTTGAGCTCCTGGCTCCTGAAACAGGTTGCCTCCGGACATGTCCAGTACGGGATGCTTTTCAGGGTGTCCCTGCATTGAATGAAGTTAGGCACCAGTTTAAGTTTGGCTCCCATCAAGAGCCATCTATTCTTCAAAAGATCCCCTAGGCTCCCCCGTGGGCGAGGAAATTCTTTCGCAGGCGCCACTCTTCAGGCGCTGTGACCGCTCCAACATACTTTTTCCAGACAGCTTGCTTTAGCGACGGCGCCGGGTGAGCCGCTCGAGGCGGCCAGGGCGCGGAATTCCTGGAGTTCCGCTTCGCGGCGCGCCGGCGAGTGTCCTTTGCCGGGCTGAAGATTCCTCCGCTGCCCATGGGGCCGCTGTCAGTGTGCCTTGGAAGGCTTCGGGTGGCCTCCCTTTTGGAAAAGGAGGTGGGCCTTTGCGTCCTTTGGCCCTCTTTCCGTGACCCTCATACGAAGCAAATCACAGTTTTCAGCTTCCCTGTTTAGCTTCAAGGCAAAAGGAAGGTGGAGCAGAGCCCTGATTTTCTATTCCGTTCCATGAGCAATGCAGCTGATTTCTGTGGATGCCATTGGTCCATCCCGGCGTGGTCCATCCATTTTGGGGCCGAGGCGCGAGTTTCATCTCATGGTCCCCAGCGGCGAAGACTGGGTGTGCGCGACACCGCCCATGCAGACGCAGCCGGGCGAAACCAAAACCAGATGGGTAGATGAAGAGTAGTACTGATAGTCACGGATGTTCCCAGCTAGAAATGCATGTGCCCGCCTTTCAATCCTTCAACCTTTTGATTTGGGGTTTTAGTTTGGGATCCCCAAGTTGCGGTTTTGGATTCTTTGCGAAATGACAGAAAGCGACCCTTAACTCAATGGTATGGTACCGTATTATGTACTGTGTTCTTTGTCTCTAGCAGTTTTTCTAGTCAATGCATGTCCTCTTGAGCGCCTGTTGCAGATGATGCAGGGGATGCACCCTGCATCCCCTGCATTTTCTGGGTGATGCTAGCAATGCTGGAGATGCTGGGTTGTTCAGTGATTTGTAAAGACACTTCTATTGGAAAGGAAATGCAGAAAGGTTAATTTCAGTGCTCATCACATAAGGACAGAGTTCAAGTCCAAAAGCAGTGAGTTTATCTAGCCCCCAGCACTACCATGGTCAGAAAACAGTGTTATGTAGCTGAATCCGCACATTCACCAACGGCCGCTCTAAAAAGAATCATTCGATTTTGAATAGAACTTAAATAGGACTCAATAAGGAAATACTTATTCCGAATCCCACTAGATGTGCTATCTTGAACTTATGATTTAGATAGAATTCCTTGCCAAATAGCCAATTGCAAGCAAATTAGAGTTTCGATAGAGTTTGACCAGGAACAAACCAATCAGAGTTCTATTTTAAACAAGAACTTTAATAAGAACTATTCTATTTCAATTTAGACTTTACGAAACAGAGTTCAACACGCATTTCCCTGTTATCCTGGGATTTAAGTAGGAGTCCCTTTAAGTAAAACAAAATCCACCCAACAAAGATCGAGAACACCAAACGAAACAACACCCAAAAACAATAACATGTAAACTCCCAGAACTCTTGGCACACTGAGTGGCTACATCTTGCAAAAGTGGCTGTGGAATATGTATCGTTTGTATTTTTGTGGTTTTGTTTTTTGGTTTTCTCGAGTTGTTTTTTGGTTCTGGGCTTTGGGCAGGTTTGATCCAGCGGAAGACTGTCTTCTGATTGTTGTTTCTCTGGCAGAAAAGATCGCACCTTGCACACATCCCAAACAGACAATAGAAAAGACTGCAATTTGCACACTTTGGAGAATCAGCGCGTACAGCTAGCCCCCCGCTTTCCGTTTTTGCAAGCTGGTTTGCAGAATGCAAGCGCTGATAAGGTTTGCAAAATAACCAAGTATCAAGATGACAATCTGTAGTGAAGGTCTATCCATCTCTCACCATCAAGTCAATCACAGGCTTTCCTGCGGGCATCGAGGGAGGATGGAGCAATATCGGGCTGAACACATTCACGCACACACACACAGACAGAAATTGGGGCAGGTACAGCAGAAGAGTAAGTAAGAAGCTCTGCCATTTGCAGAGGGCAACTGATACTCAGCAGGTATTCTGAGGGATCATGTGGTTAACGAGGAGCCACCACGCAGGAAGTGGGACGGGTGGCGCTCTTTGCTTGCGGGAATCAATGAGCAAAGGCTACCGACCCCACAAAGGTTGCAACCCACTTCACTCACAAAGTTTCTTTTTGGGCCTTAGGGGTTTCATTCACGCGCAATACCCGAAATACAAGGCTAGAGGAGCCAGTGAACATGCCCTATAACATGGAGGTTGGGCGGGGATGGCTGGAGAAAGAGGCAACTCCAAACCAAGAAGACTGACATATACACACGTCTACATGTGTACACACATGCACAGAGATGCACAAACATGCGCGCGTCACACTGCCATTCTTCTTTCTTGGTATTTCATGCCTGAGCCCAGATCGACGGGTGATGCCTTGTTGCAGCCAAGTGACCCGGACTTGGCGTCCAGAGCGGGAAACGAACTTTCATCGGGGGCCACCTCAGTGGCCTCAGTGGTTGGGGGACATGCATTCCCACCTACTCTATGTTCACTAAAGGGGTGGCCCTATATAGCTGGGTTCGTCAGGTTGAATCGTGGCGACATGCTGCTTGGTCGCAGCCATGTGCTTGTCTCCAAATCTGGGGAACCCTTAAAATGGTGTGTTTGCATGTGGGAGTTTCTCAAAATAGGGGTCCCCGAAAATCGTTGGTTTCCTGTTGAATTCCTTTGAAATACTGTTTAAAAGGAGGCTGCTTTTTCAAAACGGCACCCAAGAGGCGCTCGAAGTCGAGCCGTGTCGAGCGATTGGGGATCCGACTGCTGGTCTTGGGGTCTCATGGGGCTGTCTTGAGGTGGAGGAGCCGAGATGGGTGAACACAAGAGGGTACCTCAACAAGGACGTGCCCCAAATAGCAGGGCTTCCTTTGAGACATGAGATCACCCCTCACATCAAGTCCCTTGTGTGCAAATAAGGCTATGGCACCCTCATTTCTGCCGGGCCCAGGCAGGAGTTCGCCTTACCGCCCTTGGAGTGCCAAAGCCTGCGCCTCATGTGCACCAAAAATGCCGCGGCGGCGGAAGCCGCGGCCCTTCCAGGCCCAGTTGAAGGGAGGGGTTTGGGGCAGGGTGGGGCGGGGGCGCCATTTGGGTGGATGCGATTTTGAGGGCGCCCATTTTGGGGTTGGTTCAAAGGGAAGCCTATTTGGAGACACACCCATTGAAAATACACAAATTTGGATGGCCACCGACCCCAGTGTCGGGTCCATCCTCCCCCGATTGAAGCAACCGACATCTTGCCACAGCAAGGGTTGCCTCCCTGCGTACATCACATTGCAACTCGGCCCCAGGACTCCTTTCATCGGTTCGCAGTTTTCACTTGAGCGCCCATAACCCCAGTTGGCCATGTTTGTAGCTGCTTTCAATGGGTGGTGCGCAGGCTTCGCCAACTGCATCGGACTCTTTCAAGTGCCTGGGCTGGTCAAAGGCCTGCGCTGAAGTTCAGGTAGGAGGTGATTGCTAGTTGGGTGGACAAGAACTGAGTTATTTACGAGGGCCCAACTAATGGTGCTCTAAGACCAAATCCAGTCTTAACTGTAGAAGGCGGTACATTGCACCCCAGGATGTGCTGATCATGGTCTTATCTCAGATGAGTTGGGCAAGCTGTGGGGGCTCATGTGTCAAGGCCTTGTTTTGTATGTGCCCAGCAGTGATATGCGTTTTTTGGCCTTCGTTTGAACGGGAAGAAGTGGCTGTGCAATTCCGAAATGTCGCGATCTGATGACGCATGGCAGGGAAAAGGTTACACTCACAAACACTCGCATCCAAACATGGAAAGTCGAGGCAAGAGCAAACAATTTTTCCAAAGCAGTTTCTTTGACCTGCTGTTCGAAGGCGCTTTGCACATTCAGAGTCTCATTTGCCGCCGTGATCGAAGAAGGACAGATTGCCGACAGCCTTGGCGCAATTTGACAAAGGTTGCCAAAAAATCCAGCCCGTAACGATGAGGTTGCTGAAAGGCAGTCTGCGGTTGTTAATGTCGACCCCTGATGAAAAAACCCTCGACTTCTTGATTAGGCAGGCCCTTTTTGGAGGGGATTCCCTTCTGCCAAGAGACCTTCTGAGTCATAACTGAGGGATTGATTCTTGCTGGTTGGAAGTTGGAACAATGGCTTTCCGGATTGTTGAGACGCTTCGACCACTTTCTCTCCTTTCATTTTGACTGATGAGGGAGGCATCGCTGATGCCCTCCAAGATGCCCACGGATTCACAATGAACGGATTACGGGATTCGTGTTTGAACCTGAGCTCGCAACATGTGTTTTTTCATATGTTTGAGGGCACTTGGAAGCAATGAGCCCATGCATTCATTTGTGGCTTCCAATAACACCCTTGAATTGGGAACAATCACGAGAGAAGCTCGCGAGGTTAGCTTCGCATGAATGCGGTGAGTCGATACGGATGCAAGGGGGGACCCGACCCGCCAGGTCCGCTTTTCAGGCCCACAAGCCAAAAGCGGAGGTCAAGCAACTGCTTTGGGGTTGGAAAAGCAGGGTCCCCCTGCAGGATGTTCGGGTCAATGCTGGACAAAGTCTCAAGCCGGAGCAGTCTTGTGTGTCCAAAGATAGGGGAGCTCGGCAGACATGGGTGGTTTCCTTTCAGTGCCCGATTCACAGACCATCCAAAAGTGGGCCCCTATTTTCGACAATGCCCATGCGATGACGCTTGAATTCGTTGCTCAGCTTTTTGGGGCAATCAGGGCTACGTGGAAAGTGAACCTGATTGGAGGTCCTCATAAAGTTCATTTCCAGGTGTAAGACGGATGTAAACTTAAAACCCAGGTCAGTCCATGTTCCGAGTGGGAAGGTACGTACACATTTATATTCTACTATTTAAACAAACGCTTACAAAATCAACGGAAAACATCCCCAGCCCATTGTCCAGCAGAAGTGATGACGAAACCAAAGGCCAGCAGGGCCCTGCAGCTTGCGCTCCAGCTCAGACTAGTCATGCCCATAGCCGCCGTCAACACCGGTTCTGGGCTAAAATTTTATACAGGGTTTGGCAGAACTTGAGTAGACAAGCAGACCCTGGACACCTTGAACATGGATTCAAAAGGAGACTCTTTGAATGGCCAACCCTAGCTTTGAACCCTGCAAGCTGCCTCAAAGCCCGCTGGACTTTTTATTGGAACAATTTTCAGCAGCCGCTGGCTTCGTTTTGATGCCAGTTGCTTTGGTGTCCGGAACCCGCCACAAAGATGCGGTTAGATTCCAGGACCTTTGACGGCTTCTTAAATTCTGTGATTTTCGGCGCGTCTTTGTCGCCCTACTGATCAGCTTTCGATTTGACTTCGGGTTCGGCCACTGTTCCCGGCAGAGTCTCGCACCAGGAAGACAAAAGGAGCGCATTCAAGCGAAACCACCTTTGGCATGGTAGAAAGGACGTTTCAAGACGAAGACAACTCGGTACTTAAACGCCTCCGGCTCAGACCGCCGATATTACAGGCCTGCTCTATTAGATGTGTCTTACAGGCACAGTGGTGAAACATAGCTTGCGTGCATGGACATGGCAGCGGCCAACGGTTGCTGCAGTATCTAGCTGGGTTCAAGTCCCAACTGGAAAAACATCCAGCTCGTAGAAGGCGCGCCATCCTTCAAATTTAGACGGAGGGTCCTCGACATCAACCATATCACGTCGGCTCCTATTTGTCACCTTGACTTTGAGACCAGGCCAAAACAGAAGAGTTGAGGCTATCTGAAGTTCCGCAGAGCTACCTTGGATGTGTCTGGGAGGCGCCTATTTTGTTTGGCCCCGTTTCCCCCCCTTTGCCCGGAGGACCAACCCCTTCGATGTCAGATGCTGGAATTGCCAGCCGTGGGATGCGGAAGTTCACGCAGCAATGCAAGGCAGCAGGCGGTACATCAATTTGCGTAACTGACGGAGATGCATTGTTGCATTTTGTCCCTTAGGACACAAGAGCGAGATTTTGTATTTGTGCAGGGATTGCTTGATAGGTGAGACTCAGCGTGCCAAAGTTCAGATATGCAAGCGTGAACGGTTTTATGGACATGTGAATTTTCGCTGAGCAGGCATGTGGAATGCCGTTCATGCATCTGGCCAAGAATCGTTGGCTCCACTGTTGCTTTACATTGGGCGCGGAGCGTTGCTGCTGTAAAGCCGCAGGCCTCCGAGTTGATAGAGGTGGCTCTGGCATTCTGAACATGACTCCGCGAGACACGAGTAGGGACCTTTCATTTGACCCCCGTTTGCTCATATGTTTTTCTAGGTATGTCATTCTGGTGATGCTCTGGTGATGCGAAGGATGCGAAAGCGATGCTGAGGATGCTGGACAGGTGGCCAAGGGGGAAAATGCAAGGTTTCCGTATCCCCCTCGTATGGAAGAATTTAGTCTAGGAAAAGGACTAACTGGTGCAAACCCCTTCCACGCCACAAAGTCCGGATTGGTCCGCTTGGGAGGAGGAAAGCTGCGTTTCTTGTGTCCAACGCGCCGTTTGTCAGCGAGGCTTCCCCGCGCAAATCCGAAGCGTTCACTTTCAGGCCAAAGAGGTCCAACTGGACGAGGAGCAGCCGGCTCCTCGGTGTCCGGCCCTTTGGAGGGTACCCATTGGATGCTTCCATTTGCTTAAGACTGTTTGCTATTCTCACGGAATCAACCACTACTTGCAACATATTTTCCTGGGGAGTTGAGCACATGGATGATGAGGTGCGTGCAAAGGGAAATCCAATATGAAACCCCACCATGGCGATGGCTCCCTAAGACACACCAGTCCATGTTGAGATGGGGGGTGGCCGGTTTGGGGCGCCCACGAGCCGCACCTGCAAGATGCGCGCTGAACATTCCACAGTATCCATGTCCTCTCAAATTTGTTGATATCAGGGCGTCGGAAGCGTCCTCCTGGCCCCCAAGCTCTTGCCGAGTAGACTTGGACCGTTGGGCTGGTTGAGGTTGAGCTCTGAATCAATCCCTCCCCAGGTGTTCTTATGGTGCTATTTTTGTCGAGGATTCCCATCTTCAGCAGGTCCCCCGGATGAATTGGGGGTCAACACTGGCTTCGGCTGCAGGTTCCTAGCCAGCGGGAAGGGTCCGGGCCCCACAAGCCCGCTCGGGGTCAAGGCCCTCAGAGGAATTCAAGAGACACGGATGGGCTTGCCTTTCGAGGAAATCAACAAAAAGACGAGGTTTGTTTTGGTTTCCCTGAAAGAACCCCTCCAAAAAGGGTACCTTTAAAGGAAGACACGTACGCACACCCACTCACACACACACACACACATTGCATCATATTGCAAGCTTGCAATGGCAATGCGAGCAGGACGAGAGCTAGCAATGCCATCAAGCTATGAGTTGACCCTGAAGAAAAAGAAACAGGCCCTGAATTCCCACTTGAAACCACAAGGATCGTTGCCCCCTCCCGCGCTTCGGCCGCGATGTGTTTTTTATTGCCATCATTCTTTGAGTTTGCTGAAAGACAAGTTTGGTGCCTGTGAGTTTTTTCCCCAGGACAAGCTAACCGTTCCCAGGTGACTCATCTAAAGGAGGGCTGCTGTAAGCCGGTAGACCTGTAGAGATGTGTTGCCCATCCTTGGAACTTGTCAGGAGATGCTCAGAGATGAGGAAATGCGGCCTTGAGGACATGCTTTTGGTATCAAAGACAATCCAATCGCTGAAACAAAGGTGCTCCACAACGCAAGGGCGCGCTTGCTCTCACTACTGCCTCTGATGCGAACCAGCTTGTGCTGGATCGTAGTACCAGGAAGGGTCTGAATCCCAGCGTCAAATCACCTCCGTAGGACTCCACTTTGAGTTCAACAAAAAACGGTCATGGTAATCCAAGTCCAAGCGTGCGTGAATGAACCCCCAAGTTGACAGAACATGATTCTTACCGACTTTTGACGAGCTGGCAGATGGACGCCTCCGCCGCAGCTTCCATTTGGCTCTTGAACAGGGCCATGGTGTGCTTGACGATCCGCAGCATCGCTGGACAGAGCTGCTGCATTGATGTGGAGGCGAAGTGCACTGTGCAGGACCCAACTTTTCTCGCGCATTGCCAGGGGTCCAACTGGATTTGGGCCTGTGTTTTTTGTGGCTCGGTACCCTTGTCACCCTTGGGATACCGTAAGGAGCGCGGATGCCTTTTTAGGGGTCCCCCTATTTCGGCACATACCTGTTTGCCTTTTTGAACAATCCGCCAGCACCTGCGTGCCTTGCAGCGTCCGCAACCATCGGGAATCTGTGCGTTTCTGGTTCGCATGAACCACATCATGCTTTCTGGCTTGACATTTCTTGAAAATACATCGATGTCTTGTTGCTGGAGATCCTGTACGTTCGGAGCCTGATCAGGGGTCAACGTTGCAGGTGTTATATGCAGTGTGCGTGCGTGCGTGCGTGCGTGCGTGCGTGCGTGCGTGCGTGCGTGGGTGGGTGGGTGGGTGGGTGGGTGGGTGGGTGGGTGTTTTATTGCCATGCACACTTGGAGCCTTGCAGACGCAATTTGAGAGAGCTCGGCTCCGCAGGATCTGAAGCTTCGTCTGCAGAGTCAATGGAGGGTGCCTCCCAGGCGGCTCCGACGGCGGTTTGTTTTTCCCCCCATTTACCATCAGAAAAGAGAAAACACATTGCTTTGAAATGTGGAGACTAGGACGGAACCACACAGGTTTTAAGGACACTTTTTGTGAGCCAAGACAACTTGGCCATTGTAGCTCTTTTGGCACTTTCTGAGCCAAGGAGTGTTTCTTGAATGTTCAACGTGAATTTACCATGGTGTCACAGGAATTCGCATACCCGCTTGCCGCTTGCTATGGGGGAACCCTGCCGGCAGTGGGGCGCTTTTTTGCACCTTGTTCCTCAGTGCGAGTGCATGTGTTTTGCTTTTCCAACAGTATTTTGACGATCTCAAGGTGCACAACTGCAAACAACAGGAGCTTTCCGATAGACCCCCCAAACAAAAAGCAGAGTTATCAGCCTAGTTTTTTTTGGATCACTCAAGGGTCATCACACTGTTCCCAAAATGTGACGCCTATTTGCAAAATGTGCAATACCCGTAGCTATGTGCTAGTCTCCATGGTTTTGCTGGACATATAGTTCACATATACTGAAAGCATATCAACCTGCATTGGAAGTAATGCCTGAATCGTGCAGCACACATAGGAATACGCTTGGCACATGCTCGACATATGGTAAACACATGCGAAAACATGTGCTTGAACCACAGTAGGAATAGAAAGCAACATGCTACAAACCGTGTCATAGACAAATAGACATTCACTGGATGCAAGTGCTAGCACAATGCAAAGTCTGCTGCACACATATACATGTATATATATATATATAGATGCGAGAGATACCAGTATATGTTCTGTGCTAAGCTAGCAGCTGGCTGAACAACTATAATGTGTTGGACCCGTGGCAGGCATATCGTGAAATTGCACTAGATGCAAGCTCAACACACGCACACTAAACATGTACCTGCATGTTCTAGAAGCTCAGCATGCAAACGAGCGCGCTCCCACAGCGTCGTGACCTCTATGTTTGACGGCGGGTGTGTCTGGTTTTCCCCTTTGACACCAAGAAGCAGACACACCTTTTACCCGGAAGGTTTCTTCGGGTTCCTTTGCTTAAAGCGATTCAGTCCGTGCTCACCGTGTCTCACTGGCTTCATTGCCCTGAAGAAAAATGGGATCGCAAAAACTGATTCCTCCAGAAGGTTCCAGTTGAGAATCTGTGATTTGCCAAACATCAGCGGCTCTTCGCGGCGGCATGGCAGATGTCCGCAGGTTTGCCATTTGCTGGAAATCCCTTGCCAAACCTATCCAAGCTCCAGATCACTTGTCGGACCAGAGTCCAGGAATTGAATGTTGGCGTTGGCCCAATCAGTTGGGTGTGCCTTTTTTGATGGCACACTTTTTGCATGGTTGTAAAGTGGGAAGCCAAAAGGAATCACCCCCCCCCATTTCGGGGGTTTCCGTATTTTGAGGCAAACCCATCGATCTTCGTGTAAGGTGCCTGGAACTGATTTGCGGCACAAAGTCCTTGCCCAACACCCACTGCTTTGAAGAAGCGGATGACGGCCTGGAAGCTTGGCTTCGCGCCGTTTTCGCAGAGATGTTCCCTTGGAGCTGATGACTTGCACGCATGAAGATGCATCCCCCATGTTGCAGCGACATGTTCACCACAGCCTTGCGCTCATGAAGACCACTGAGGTGGCAGTTTCCCTCAGATATTCGAAATCCTGTGGCCAGGGGTGGCCTTGATCAAACTTGGCCATCTCTCTTTGGACTTCTTTCAATGCCCTGATCCCCACCCATTGAAATCCCCACTCATTGCAGTATAGGTCCAGGAGCGCGTTGCTTTGCTCAAAAGATGTCTCATTACCTTTGCTTGGTACATGCAAGCCGGACGCCCTCACTTCCAGTCAGGTGTGGGGAGCTTTGGTCTGTTCCCATTTGAGTTGCGAATTGGCGCAGGCAGAGGACTTCAGACCCGTGTAGATGTGTTCATCCCCTTTCCTCGACGAGAGAACAGTGCCACCTACTTTGCCCAACCGACGTCGTTCCAAGTCCAGCAAACCTCATCTGAACAGGTCCCGCCACCATTTGGGGCCAAGAATCAGCAGGTGAGCGGACCCCGAGCTTCACATGCCTTGCACCTGCTTTTGCCTGAATTCCTCCCTTACACTATTGCAGTCAACGCACACCGGCGGCGGTTTCTCTCCCGCAGAATCCGCAGCATTTCTGACAGATACACATCCGGGTGCTCAGGTCCGAGTCCGTTCTGGATCTGGGTTTATGGATCTGGAGCGCCCAGACACCAACCCCGCCAGTCTTCACTTATCCCAGCCAAGGGCTTCAAGCCCATGTTGGGACTGTGCCAGGGGCTGTCCTGAGGCCAGATCGCTCTCAGCTTTTTTGGGCTTTCCCACAAGGAAACCCAAAGAGGGTAGGCAATTGTGTACTGTTTACTGTCTCCACACCCCCCTTGTTCATACCCAAACAAACCCAGAGACCTGTCTTTCCTGGGTTGGATCTTTCACCTTGAGCTGGGAAAAGTTAAGGTTTTCAACCCAGCAGTTCGTCAGGGGTTACCTTGACCTTTGCTTTGTTGTCAACCTTTAACCTTAGTTTTCCCAACCAAGTGAGCCAGATTCTGGCAGGTCGACTGAGCCCCGACTCGGCTCAGGAGCTGCTGGGGGTGCTGTCGCTGCAGGCGATTTGCCTGGACCTCAACCGCTCCGGCGCGCAGAAGCGCGCGGAAGCGCTCAAGGCGGGGGTGCGTGGCCGGGGGCAGCCGGGGGGCGGGGGGGAGGCTGCGGTGGGACCATCGTAAGTCTAGGTTTGAGGATATCACTTTAAAGGGCCCCGGTAGGGTGGTGGGCTTGCATGTGCGTGTCTCCGTGTCTCCGTCCGTGTCTCCGTATCTCCGTGTCTTCGTGTCTCCGTGTCTTCGTGTCTCCGTGTCTGTGTGTCTCCGTGTCTGTGTGTCTGTGTGTCTGTGTGTCTGTGCCTCTGTGTCTCTGTGTCTCTCTCTCTCTCTCTCTCTCTCTGTGTCCGTGTGAGTCTCGCGCGTGTATGTGTCTCTTTTTGTTTGTTTTTGTGTGTGTTTTTTCTTTCTCTTTTTTTTTGGGGGGGGATGTGGAACCCACCTTGTTTCAGGGCTGGTTTAGAGGGAGGGTTCGCCTGTTTGGGACAAACCCATGATTCATGATGCAACTGTTTTCTTGTGCGCATCGGTTTTCAGGCTTTGGTGCTGCAAAAGCAAGAGTGAAAGGGGTGGAGTGCAGGTGAAGGTGGATGGTGCTTCAGGGTCGCCTGGTCATGGGGTCCGTCTCAGAATGGGCTTCGCAGATGGATCGCCGCTTTTTATCGCATCCTTTGTTTGCATTTCTTACTCTTGCGTGGTAGACCCGGCACCAGATTCACGTACACGAAGCTTGCCGCCCGTCCATCTTCCGCTTGTGTTTTTTGTGACCCAACTGGCGAAATGGCTGTGTCTTGTTTGAGGATCGGGGCGATTTTGAATGGAAACCAAATGGATGTTTCCCAAATTCAGGGGCCTAGAGGTTTCTTTTGCCCTTCCTTGCTTTCCTCTCGGCAAAGTGCAAGCCTAGCTTGTCCCCCTTGCCGCCCGTGATCAAGCCATGCGAGTGAACTAACATCCTCCCCAGAAATCAGTTCCACGAAGTCCAACTTGTTTTTAGGCAGCCTTTTTTGAAAGCATTGGAGTTTCGTGGCAAATTGCGCAATGTTTGGGTTGGGAATGTCATGGCACCTAAAAAGATGGCTTCCCTTGTTCGGATGGCTGGAACGACCCCCAATCCCTTCCGCCATCCAACATCTGATATCAGGTAAGAGGAAACTAGTAATTTGGTCAAGTACTACCCCACTCCATTATGAGAATAGTAAGAAGGAGAAGAAGGAGAAGAAGCAGAAGACAGAAAGAGAGAGAGAGAGAGAGAGAGAGAGAGATACACCAGTCGAATTATTTGAGCCGCTAGCCCCCCACCAGTAAACGCGTTTCACCGCACCGCCACCCATCGCATCTCCGCGAGGAGCTCAGCGAGATGCGGGGCCAGCGCCAGGCGGTGGAGGCGGCGTGTCGCTGCCTGGAGGCCTGTGGTCACTCTCAACATGGGAATCGGCCCCCCGAAAAGTGGGCGTGACTTTTTTGCAGGGTGAACCTTTTCGTGTTTTTTTTCTTCTTTTTTTTTCTTTCTTCTTCTTCTTTTTTAAAAATGGGGACGCCAGAAGAGCACTCTCAGCATGGAATTCGGGTACGATGTAAAGAAACACCTGATTGGCAACGCTTTCCTTTGGTGGTCCATTTGGAGAACCCCCCCCCCTCCCACACCCTCCTGGAAGCTGGGGAGCCACTTGGGGAGGTTGGAATGGCCCACCCAGGATCCATTTTCCGATCATAACAACATATGGGTTTCCTTTTGGGTCATCCGTAAATGGAAGAGACCCGCGTTTTCTTTTTCGCTAATGAGAGAAGATCGAGTCGGGGAAACCCACTCAATCGTGAGCCACACAACGGCCATCCAAAACTGGCCCTTCATCCCCCAGGCTGGATTTTCCCCAACCCCCGACTCGAATGCTCGCGAGGACAAGAACGCCTACGTGCGCTCCGCTGCGGCGGAGGCGGTGGCAAGGGTGGCGGAGCAGGGCGACCAACAGGTCATGGACTTGGTGGACTCCCTGCGCCTCGGGCCAACACGGTCTTCATATGTCTTCATGCTTTGTATCCTTTGTTTCTTCGCTCTGTGTTTTGGCGTTTTGCGTGTGTTTGTGTAGATATCGGTGTGGGTGTGTGTTTGTGTAGGTGTCCGTGTCCGCATTTGTGTCTGCGGCTGTGTCTCTCTGTGTTGGGGTTCTTAACTGCCTCGAAACCACTTCGAGCGTAGATTTTTCAATCAGGCCATCATGCACGGCTTGTGGTCATGGGGACAGCCCAAGCTGTCCGCGGTTGATTGTTTGCGAGGTTCCCACTTTGCACCGTGGACGGACAAGATCTTGCCTGCTTAGGATGAAGACGCGGCCCATGCTGGCTATGCGCTTGCTGGTGGGGGTGGTGCCCAGAGGCTGGATCATGCGAGACTCAGCGGTGTTTGCGGGGTGGGAACCCGGGAACCCCGCCAAACACAAAGAACACCGCGAACCACCAATCCAGGAGATGGACAAATTGTGTCAAGAGTCCGGATCATCCATATTCTTTTCATTTCCCATCGTCGCTTTTTTGGGAAGAACCACGATGTATGCCAAGCGCGTGACTTCCAGGGTCCAACCTTTGGGGGGTTACCACTTCAGTCCCCTCTGGAACCGAGCCCCTCGAACCCGAGAATCGGCGTGAAGGATAGGCTGCTGCTAAACGTGTACTTAGCGTGCACAATTGCACTTCTGCAGCCTCCGCGTAGGCGATTTCAAGCCTCACCTTGTGAACCGAAGCGTGAGCTTTTCTTTGCGTTCGACTGATTGCGGAGCCTTGTTGAGGGACCAGCACCAGAGCTGCCCATCCCTAGCTTACAGCTAGACATTCCCATCCTCAAATCTGGTGGGTGGCTTCGATGTTCCTTCCGGTTTCTCCTCAAGCTCCGCAAAAAAGGGGGTAACCCCCGTAAACACCCAATGTGGGTGTGGCTCAAAATGCAAGAGCTGAAATTACGCAGGTGGTCTTTTGTTCCATTTGCCAAGGTGCCATGTTGGTCTCCGTATTTTTGAGCCACAGCCGGCTCGTCGCGAGGGCACCGGCCCTCGGTGAGCCGCGTGCGGCGCCGGCTGCGGGACGCCTCCAGCGAGGTCCGGCAGAGCGCGCTGGTGGCCCTGGCGCAGCTGGCGCAGCCAGGCCCCGCGTTGACTCCGAGGGCTCCGACGGGACCGAGGGATGCGACGGTCCATTTGACTTGCGAGGGATGCCCTGGGTATGGGATTTCCGGGAGGAGCCCAGAGGGTGGACATCATTTACCTGGCGATTCAGGTCCAATTCCAACTTTTGAGGTTCCCTATGAAAATCAATGTAGCCAGCAGGGAATGAGAAATGGAAATCCAACTGTTGGTGTCCTTTGAGAGACCTATGAGGTTCATTCACACATTCCCTACTTATGGCACCAGCAAGTTTAAGGTTGCGCCAAAAACACAGGGTAAACCGGGTATCCCCAAAATGGAACCCTGGTAAATGGAGACATCTCAAACCTGCGGTCCCCTGGTGGGTAATTTTGACCCATACCCATCTAAAAACAATAAACACTCTTTCGACTTGCTTTCCCTTGAAATCCTTGGGTCACTCCCGGAAGTTTTTGTGCGAAGCAAGGTTCCTCTCCGTTCGAGACGGATAGGCTCTTGTTCTTACATCTGGCGTTGCTCTTTCCGTTGTGACCTGAGGACGTCGGCGGGAGGGCGAGCTGAGCACTAGGCCACCGCACAAATGACGCTGTCCTTGCTGCTTGAATGGTCAGGCGACAAAGATGTGATTGATACCATCGTCTCCATGCTGTCCGATCCAGATCGAGCACCTTGGGCTCTGAAATTCAGATGTGGCAAGGGCTGCTTGGAGAATGAGAACACTGCCTCTGCTACTGGCTGCGCGTAAGGGCACTATAAGCATTAAGGAAAAGGTTCCTTCACAGATGCGCACAGTCCCCGGTGCTTTCGGCGCGTTTCGGCCCCATGAGGCGCTTTTGCAGTTTTCGCAGGGCGTGCTTAGATTCCAGGTCTGGCAGCATTTAGGCGTCCAGAGCCGCCTGTAGCCCAACACAAGCACCGGCAAGGTTGTTTGGAGGGTATTCCCCAACTAAACTGACTGGTTGTTGTCATTGAATGATCACATCACAACAGCCTTCAGTCCAATTTGGGCATTGGGGGAACGGGTTCCATACAATATGGCATGCAGCTCTCCAGAGCCTTTGGAAGCAAGGTCAAATCGGGGGTATTGCCACCCGGAATCTTCTTTTGTGGGCTCACATTTTGAGGGTCTTCAATATTTAGAGACCATAACCCATTCTATTTCGCGGTGAAGCTACATGAATCTGCCCTGGCCCCCATCCCCCTCGCGGGCTTCAGAAGGCTTGCCTTAGGAGGGCTGCCCCCTGAAAACTCGCCTTTTTGTGTGTGATGTCCGCGGCGCAGCTCCTGAGGGCCGGCATTGGGCCTC